TCTGGGAGCACCATCACGCTCTCTGCAGGAGATGTCGTCTATTCCGAGCCCTATTATCCTCAGTGGAATTCACCTCCGTCTCCGGAGCGCTGCGGTTGCCAGGGGTGACAGGGCAAGTGACAGGGGACTTCTCTCTCTTCTTTTGTCATTCCGAGCTGAGAAAAGGCCCAATATGTCACAAAATTATGCTGTTTCTTCCCTGCGGTCTTGTAGTCAGAAGGCTCACACAGCTGTCACGGCCTGTGCATCCCATTAGCGGAGACTGTGTGTGTGTTATCTAATGCTGCGCTGGTGTTACTCTGTGGATACAGGCAGGTGCTAATTGCACTTGACACAGGCTGCTCAGATCTGAGGAGTTAAGCTCCTAGAGAGGCTGCAAGCACCAATCATCATAAGAATATTTGGATAGAGGAAATCACAGGAGAGTCAAAAATGTTCATCTTTTTTTTTTTTTTTTTAAATACAAAAGATTGAAAATAACTGGATACTGCTATATCCCACTGCCTTTTATATGAGAGAAAATTCTACATTATAGGAGCAGTATATAGTCTGTGCTTTTACAGTTTTAAAACTGTAATCACAACTGAAGGTCGCCTGTATATAGAGACACATAAACATTTTTCTCAGGTCATGAACAGGCCATGTCTCATGTAAAAGCACAGAACCTCCAGACTTCTCTCGCTGAGCTGCAGAGTAATGACAGCAGGTGCTGTGGTTTAGATTCAGATCAGAGAGATTTGTTATTGGTTTAAATCAACTGGATTATAGTATTGAAACTGGCAATGCTGATTCGTCTTGAGAACCAAAACTGCAAATTACATCATAAAAAACATAGCTGTGGTCCAATGTTTTTGCAATTAAGAAGTCATTATTACTATTGTTATCAGTAAAAAGCTATATTTGAATATGTTTGACCATAGATACTGTCCCTTTAATGAATAAATGCATTATGTAATCTTTTTCTAGTTGACATTTGTCCATTCAATATACTTTTAGTCACGCCTCAACCATTTGTATTATCAAATTGTGATCCCCAAAGACCTAAAACAAATACATGTAATATAATAATGTATAATGCAATACAAGTAGCCTTCCTCAAAGTCCAATTAAAGTACATTACAGCAGAAAAAGTGAGCTCAAATTTATTTTCAGATCACATCACTTCACTTGAGTACAAAGAAAGCCCATATAACCCAACAGAGATCAATGTCTAGTGCAGTGTGTCCCCTTCCGACCCACACACATAAAAGCACGGTCCTTTTCAGTATGATACACATATTCCATAAGAGAGGGCCAGTCGTGTCTGGAAATGTGCACCCAAACATAGACATGGGGTACAGCCAGCGAGCGGTCATAGTAAAAGTAATGAAGCATGAAAAAACAATCCTTATGCTAAGAATATCATAATAACTCGTATTTCATAACGCTTTTAATGGTACGGAAAATATAGCTTCAAATGGGAGATGTTTTAAAACTTACTTTCATGTTTATTTAATAGTTTTGACGGAGAATTCTGCACGGCCATTTTGCACAAGTTTTACAAGCTGTATTTTGAATTTCCAAATACAATTCTCTCTATGAAATCATACACCGTGCCACTAGTACTAGAATACCACTCCCAGGCTGTAATTAGACAATAATAAACTCCTTTTAGACAATATGTTCTGTAGTTACATGGAAGATTGGCATTGCTTGTAAAACCAACATCGAACCTAATGTTATAGAAAGCCGCGTTACCAACAATGAGCAAGTCCATGTTCAAATTAAAATCGCATCAATCATCCACAGATCTGGACAATAGCCTGGCCATAAACAGCAGTTAAGAGTCATTACATCACGTGCATCCCGGCCATAATTGTATATTCTGTAAATACTCAAGAACCGCGATACAAAACACATGTACAGGGCGGCCTTGTTGTTGTATACGAGTACATGAAATAATAAAGTAATTTACCAGGATGTTTGTGTTAATGAGTTCAAATTCTTAAAGATGCACAATGTAACTTTTTCCATTTGGGGTCCGTCACCTAGCCTGATTCATCAGCCGATTTCAATTTGTACAAACCATGTGACCTCGCAGCACTACAATTCGTTCGCTCGACAGTGGGCAGATACTTTTTTATAACCAATCGCTGCTATTCGGTCGTAAGGTATGTAATTCGCCACTGACGGGACTACCCGGTAAGCTTTTCCCAAATCCTGTAGCAAGAAGGGCAATAATGTCTTTCCCCTTGATAAAATTCACCAAACATTCTCTTTGTTCCGGCTTTAAATCCTTGATCTCGGGAATCGTTGCCAACACAGAATGCATGGCTCTTCACTGAGTGGCTGGTGCCCAGACTCGCACTTCCGGGGTTCTTGCAAACTGTGCATTCCGATTCCTGACCTAGTCGCTGGAGAGAAATGAAACTGAGTGGAGGCACTAGGTGGCGCCAGCCTGACTATCTGTCACCTGCTTGTCTCCATGAACATGTCATTGTTCTACCTGGAATGTTCTACAGTGTGACATTAAACAACACTACTTTACATTTATTCCATTACAGGCGGCTTAATAGCTCAAAAATACCTGGAAAAACAGGCATTATTATGACGTGTGCGGGGTTGCTTCTCCACAGATCTGACCTGTAACTTGGTCTGGTTTGGTGTCCATGAAGATAGAAAGGTTTAATGCCTTACTGTGAAACATTCCAGACAAAGCAATAACATCTCTGTGGAAAAAAGCATTTGACAGACTCTCCACCAATAAAAGCTACACAATGCACCTTTAAGATAATTTTTGGTTTTTGTGTCAGATCGTCCAAAAAAAACAAAAAAAAAAATGAAGTAAACAGCAGGTTTCAACTGGTTTGAACATAGATAGTCACCTGCTGTTTAATGCCATACTGTGAAACATTCCAGACAAAGCAATAACATCTCTGTGGAAAAAAGCATTTGACAGACTCTCCACCAATAAAAGCTACACAATGCACCTTTAAGATAATTTTTTTTTTTTTGTGTCAGATCGTCCAAAAAAATGAAGTAAACAGCAGGTTTCAACCAGTTTGAACATAGATATTCACCTGTCATAAAAGTTATGGCTGGCCCCAAGACACCGTGTGAACACTCTGTAATCTGAACTGTTGTTTTGAGTGGACAATAGAAAGGGAGGTCACCCAAAATCACGGAAAATACATCATTCCCAACATTTTTTGCTCTGTTTCCCAGGCGTGTTTGGAGGCTTTTCAGAGCTCAGGCCATGCAGCAGTTTTCCATGTTAGTCCAGTAGTTTCCATGCCGGATTGTCACACATAGGGAGTGGTTCAGTCAAGGCACAATAGGAGACGTGGGAACAATCTGTTTACATTCATTTAGCTAGTTAGAAAAATATACAAAGTCAATACATGTTGTTTTCAAGTTAAATAATGTTATTGTGTTAATTTCAGATTGATTTAATGGGGCGATTCACTTTCGCTATAGGCTGTTTTCACATTCTATAGGGTGTGGGTAGTACTCACATTTACAAGTACTTTTACTTGAATCATTAGTCACTAAAATTGTACTTCTCAGTAGTTTTCAGACAACATACTTTAACTCCTATATTATAAAATATATTACTCAAGAAGGAATATATTTAGTGTAACAGTAACTGCAGTTTTGTGATTCTAGCTGCACTCCTTAATGATTTAGTTTTTCTCAAATTCATGGTCTATTCTTCAAAAAAACTGTGCATGAGTGAATGTGTTCCCATCCAAATTATATATCACATTTTACTATTACAGTTACTCTTCCCAAATACTTATGACACTTGAGTAATATTGTTTTGAAGTAATGGTACTCTTACTTGCATACACATTTTTTTTATACTCCACCCACAGCTGTACACATGTAATAATGTTTTAAGTACATTAAAGCATAAATCATTGTGTTAGTTGCTGCGTTCACACTTCCACACACATCAAAAACCGCGACTAAACCGGGACTCAACCCAGACTAAACGTGGAGCTAAACATGACTACACCAGGACTTGAAGAGGACCAAAGAAGGTCTACATCACCAAACTAGTACCAAACTAAAACATGAGTGAACGCAGCCATACTGTAAACAAGTCCACTTATGTGACCATTTATGCTGGAACATTCTCTTTGACAAGCCTTTTCATAACAGGCCTATCTTCAAAATTATGCTTTTACAACCTTTTAAACTATATTTTACACCGTTAAACTGTCATAACTAAACTATAGAAAATGGGGACAGCACTGCCACGCTTTCAATCAATCTCCACTGGCCCCCTTAGACCCCAAACACAATACCAACAACACCAAAATATCGTAGCAAAAATATACACCTTAAAGAAATGATAATTACAGCAGCAACTTCCAAGTCTGTATATCCGTGTCTCACATTTCTCTGTGTCCCTTCTGGCTGCGCTCTCACAGCAGATGGCTTCACAAGTGCGTGCCCTCGCCAACCACTCTGCGGGCACCGTCCAGATCTGCCACTCACCCCACGACCACGAGGGCAGTCTGCTGGGGCGAGCCTGGTCACACCGCCCCCTCGCCCAGCCACTCACGGAGGTCTTGGGTTCAATTCCTGGCCTGGTGCTGGGTTTGCATGGCGGGTTACCTCTGGCTCACGTGCTCAATACTCCAGCTCAACCACAATGTTAGCAGAATAATAAAGGTCTCGCCCATTGATTCTAATTGGTGTTGGTGTAATATAGGATAGGGTCAAATGCATTTAATTTTCCCTACGTGGACAGAACAATACCTCTTTCAAGAACACGAAATTCAGAATAACTTTGGAAGCTGTGTGCACAAGTCGACAAGTTGCATGAAAAGAAGAATTATGATTCACTTGGCAGATAGGATCTATACACAGAAACATGTATAGAGATTTGTACAAGTTCCAGTGGGCATGTTTCCATTGTACAAGTTTCAATTGGCGTTTTTGGGTATCACGCAGCTATACAGGGTTAAGTCAGTGATGAAAATGCAGCATAATTTTTCCAGGTTTAACAGGAGCTAGCGTGTCAGGTCTTGGTAGCTGACGGGGCAGTCCATGAGGGGGCTGGAGAGGTGGGGGTCAGAGGGGGAGTCCTGGAGCTCGGTCTCTCGGTGCCCCCCCTCCTCGTCCTGGAGGGTCCCACAGCTGGGGCTCTGGGCACTGGACATGGCCCCGTAGCCGTGGTGGGCTGGGGAGGGCATGGGCGTCAGGGCAAGCTCAGGCTCCAACAACACGGACGCGACAAACATCTGGGAGGAAGAGAAAGAGATGATTTTTATTTGTATCTTGTTCTATCTGTCACTGTGTTCTGATTGTCCACTGTACAGTGCGTTCTGATTGATGGTTGCGTGATTATTCAATTGCGTATTCAGTGTAAGCCACATCCATCTCCTCTGCTGTCTGGAAATCTTTGAAACTGACAAGAAAAACTAGATCTGAGTAGAAAAGCAAAACAACACGCAGTTTATGTTGTGTCATTGAAAACATATTATGTAAAAAGCATACATGTAGATGATAAAGTTTCATTCAAAACAGGATCTATTGCGGCGTTATGCAATGAATAGATTAAAGGTGATCAAGTTCCCTTTATCTGGGACCTCATGTGTCTAATCATTATGAAAAATCTAAAAATAAGTACAAGGTTTATTCATTAAACGCACCAACAGTTTCACTCCAAACTGTAAATATATGAAGCACAGATTACACCAATCTAACTTTACTTGCATGATCAAATTTCAGATATTGATTTATATTGTTATGGCTTCCACAAATTCCATATTAAATGGGCCTTAGCTAGAAAAAAAACTTCCATTAACTTTTTCTCTTGTTTGCCTTTGTTTGTCTCCTCATGTAAGGCATCTTTGAGTATCTTGAAAAGCACTATACAAAATATTATTATTATTATTATTATTATTATTATTATTATTATTATTATTATTATTATTATTATTATTATTAAATATTTGCTGATATATCTGACTCAACTCAAAATAGCCAAGTATAAAATTGTTCGTAAAATGTTTGTTTAGTAAATTATAAACTACATGTTAGATAGATTTTATGTTAGGGATGTAACAATAACTGAAATATTGTAATATCGTATCCTCAAAAGTCTCACAATAATATCAAGGACATCACAATATATCGAATTACAAGTCTCTTTACTTAAATCCATTGTTATGGCACAACAATAGCTAAAAAAAAAAAAAAGAAAAAAAAGAGGGCACTACACAGACCATGATCCTTTGATGTTGTCAATGGAGACTTAACATTAATAACTAGGGGTGTAACGATATCCAAGTTTCACAATATGATATCATCGTGGTATGAACCACACGGTACAATATTTATTGTGATATCGTGGGAAATCTCATGGTGGGGAGGCTTACAATTAGGGATGTAAAAATATCCAAATTCTTTACAATATATATCTCATGGTACAATACTTATTGTGATATTTTGTGGAGACTAACAAAACTGTTAATTTGCTACTCGTTCTTTTTTAAAATGCTTTGACAAGACTTAATCCAAAGAACCAAAGTGCTTAGAACTGTCATTTCTTTTTATAGTCTGCACTGAAATGGAGCAAAGGATTATGGTCTGTGTAGTTCCCTTTTTTAGCTATTGCTGCACCATAACTCTTAATTTAAGCAAAGAGACTTGTTGTTACATCCCTATTAATAACACTTTTAAATCTTAATTTTTCATATTACAACAGTACCATTCTTAACAGTACCAATGTTTTTTTATAGAAGTAAGCAACATATTCACAGTTTTGTTAGCCTCCACAAATATCGCAATAAATATCGTACTGGCAGATGCATATCGTGAAAATATCGTATCGTGAGATTTGGATATCGTTACATCCCTATTTTATATCAGTATTGATCATTTGAATTTTTAACTAGCATTTTTCCACCTTTCAGTCACTCAAAGCGCTGTACATCAAGGAACCACTCACACATTCAAACACCAGTGTACGCAGACACCAGGGGCGAGGTGGGTTAAGTGTCTTGCCCAAGGACACAACGACAACATTCATCTGTGGAAGCTGAAATTGCATCTGCACTACCCAATGTCAACAATAGTCCAGATCAATCAGTCTTATATAATACTACATCTCTGACAATAAAGAAAGAGGATGTTACTGTACATTGGAGGCTGTGGTGGTGGTGACGGTGCTCCTCTCCGGATCGGTGAATGCTCCCTCTGCAGGCTGGTCGGACATCTGGGACAGAGGACACAGGAAGAACAAGCATTTACACAGGTCAGTGAGGCTGCCATATCTGTCCACTAAACTCAGCACAAGAGTCAGGCGCAGAGCAGAGGGGCTGACCTGGTAACTGCTGGACTTGTCTGGCTGCTTCCTAAGGCACAAGCGGAAGATGGAGAAAGCGATACAGGAGAGCAGGGACACGAAGGTGAACAGGGTGATGGGGTGCACTGGACCTGGATCAGAAGAGAAGTTATAATGAAAATATCCGTACACAATATTTAGAGGAGAAACCTTAAAGAGCCCGTATCACGCTATTTTCTTATCAAAAACATACCTGGAGTTGTGTTTTGTTTCAATCATATGTTCAACACACAAATCCTGCATATTTAGGTTGAGTTCTTCTCTCAAACATAAACCACCTTGTGATGTCATGTGGTAGTACAGGTCTACTGTGTTTTTAAACTCCATACACCTTCACTTGAATCATCTGGATGATTTTAGCCCTGGAATTTCCAATTTCTTCTGAACTAAAGGTAAGGTAAGGAGCTGTTAACTTGAAAACTACCGCTTCATGACATCACAATGTGGAACAGAGGATTTTTGATCATTGGAAATGTAAACAGACTAATAATAAAGGATTACTCAAACATGTGTAAATGAGCCAAAACACAACTCCAGGTATGTTTTTGATGATTATAACATGCCTTAAAGCTCACAGGAGTCAATTTTGTGTCATATAGAACCTTACAGTAGTGACGTGGAATGAGCTAAAACAAGAGACTTCTCTTTTTCAATTCAAAATAACTTTTAAGAGAACAGTAATGGAGAAATATTTGAAGGAATAATAACATTAAAGAGATTTTTTTTAAATAATTAGAATAATTGTTGATTTTTTTTCTATGATGTTGTAAAATGCTGTATTAATTTGTAGATGTATGTGCTGTAGAGATAGGGGTAGGCAGTAGGCACAATAAGCTTTAGCTTCTGCCTACACCTGCTCAATAACTTACTTAGTGTTTGATTTGATTGTTCTACAGACTGAATATGTTTTATTTTATGGGCATCAGACTGAATATAATGCATGTAGACTGTAATGAGTTAAACACTGACCAAATACAAACACATGAACATGAACTTACCTAGTCTGAGAACAGAGAAGAAGAGCAACCAGAAGATGCAGAGGATGGGAGCCATGATGACCTGGTTGATGGCGGCCCTGTGAATGCGCTGGCTGAGTTTAGTGGGGACATATGCGTAGTAAATGTTGTAGCGATCCACCATGTGCTTGAGAATCACATAGAGAAGACCTGCAAACACATTACAAAGGTTAGTGTATTCTATCATTTAGAGATCACAAAATGAAAAGGCACATGGGTTATTCTTACATAAGACAAAGCAAATTCAACTGTTTTTGTAATGTGAAATAGTGAGTCCAAACAGATGCATCATTTGTAGTGGTAGTAACAACATTCATCCAAAAACCCATAGAAGTTGACCATGCCCATATGCAAATTTTTATTGTGTATTTGGGCACAACACTTTGCCCACCTTGTGTTTGTGTGAATATTGTGTGTGTGTTCGGAGGGTCTGATGGCACAGATTGGCAGCTGTGTTTCTGTCCCATGGCAGCTGTGGCTACAGTTTATTATAGAGATAATGAAAAATAATATAATATGCATAATATGCAGTTTACAGTTCCATGCATAATAAATGATGGAACTGTAAACTGACTTTGAGTGCCAAGAAAAACACTGAATTAGTAATTAGTCTTACTAATCACTAATTAGTCTTACACATCACTAATGTACTATTACTATCTACTATCTGTTTTTAAATGCAGTAGATAGTAACAACAGTACATTGAATATTATATATAGACCCACTGGAGTTGAAATAAAGCTTGATTGATTATAAAACAGTGCAAGGTATAATTACATAATAATGATTGGTCACATGGGATGAACAGAATAATTAAAGGTATTAGACTAACAGGCTTCATTTGTATTGTACCATTTAAAATGGTTAAATAATATTGTATTTGTAAACACAGCGTGTTATTAGGCACTGAATCCCAGGCAAAAGTAGCAAATGTGGGCAGCAGGCAGGTATTATGCATGAGAAGTAAACATGCGGGCGCTGGGCTCTGGGCACAGACAGGAGCAGAGTGGGCGTCTGGCTCTCAGCTCTGTGTCTGAGTGTCTAGGACTGCAGCAGCACATTCACACAGTCTGCACAGGACTGGCACTGCACCACCACCTAACCAGGCTCCCATACTGTACCAGGGATGAGTAGGGCACTCACCGAAGGGCGTGATGAGCGGGCACGTGATGCTGTAGGTCATAGTGACGCCAAAGATACACATGGTCCAGGCGTACTCCAGCCCAAACTGGAACTCATAGGCCTGGCTCTGGAAACAGGTTAAAGAACAGTCAATAAATAAAAAAAAAACTACTATCATCTACATAGCAACTTTTTACATTTACATGCCACAACCAATCAGGGCCTGCTCCATTTGCCTCTCAACCAACCACATCTCAATCTTGTATAAATGAACAGCAGCAGCAGCAAACCCACCTGCCTCCTCAGACTCTAAATCCTCTTACGTTCACATATTTTACCACTAATCCACCCTTCTCTCTTTCTCTTTATCACAGGTCCAGAATTTATTCATCTAATACTCACTCAAATCTCTCTCATTACTCTGTGAAAAACAATTTTGAATCAGTATATTACCAAAACTCTGACACTGGTGATTCCATCTTTCCTATTTTGTATTCTTGTTCATATTCTGACAAAATATGCAGGAACAAAATGGTAAACGGATAGTGTAACAACCTTGGGAAAGACTTTGAACTAACTTTCCTCCACTGATTGGCTATTAATTCAGCCATGTCAACAAATGATTTGATGGAAATGAGTTTGACAGACATTTGACATTCTTTCCAAAACTCATTCAAACTTATTACAACTCTGCTTGTGAGGGTCATATACTTTACTTTCCCGATGCAGCTAAGGTTTTCATACATAAACTTGACATATCTTCATAGTTAAAGGTGCTAAATCACACAAAACTGACTCTTGTTGTCTTTAAGTCATGTTATAATGTTGTTACCTCCTCAAAACATACCTTGGGTTGTCTTTTTTTTTCACACATGTTTGAGTAACTCTTTATTATGAGTCTGTCTACATATCCAAAGCTCAACATGCTCTGTTCCACTTTGTGATGTCTTGTAGCGGTAGTTTTCAAGTTAACAGCTACCTTTAACCTTTAGTTCAGTAGAAATGGGCAATTCCAGGGCTAAAATCATCCAAATGATTCTACACAGGGTGGAACAAAGTGTTTTCTGTTCGAGAGAAGAACTTTAAATATGCAGGAATTATGTGTTAAACATGTGTGAAAGAAAGAAACTCCAAGTATGTATTTGATGAGGACACAACATTATAACATATATCAGAAAATAGTGTAACATGGGCTCTTTAAACTTTCATATGCTCGTTAATCTTGGTTCACTAGTTTAACCTTTGTAAGCTTTAAAGGAATGTACGATTTTTACAGCATTAATGAGTAGGGCTCGGTATCATGAAGAAGGTGCCGATACGATACATACCTGGATAGAGTGAGCTTTGATTCGATACAATTCAGTACAATATATTTCAAATTGATTTGATCGGTTCAATAAAAAATAATAGCTAAATCAAGGCTGTGACACTAAAAGTCTTTCTTAAACCACTTCTTGTGCAAAGTGAATATGAAACAAACATTTTCAGCAAAACAGTGAAAATGTCAAATGTGTCGCATAAACAAGTTTCCGTCCTCTGAACAAACAACAAAACTGTAGCGCTGTAACAAATTAATTTAGTAAATAAAACAAAAAGCACTCTTGGTGATATATCAATACAGCAGCCCACGATATTGATACTGTATCATCACATTAAACGATACGATATATCGGTATTTCAATATTTTTGCCCACACCTATTAATGAGAGATATATTCAGATACTGCTGAGTGCTCCAATCCAGTTATTCATAATTACCAATACATTTACGTCATGTTTAAGACGTTTGTGTTGACAATGTGAATTTTGGTTCTCAAGTTAATTCTCCAATCACAAAGTATGTAGGAGTGTAGGTTACAACTTCTACCATTAAGTAATTCATAATAGAAAGAAAGACTATATGACATTTGAGCACACTGCTTCGAATGTCTTCCATGTTACATATTGTGCATGACTAATAAGCTAAATAAAATAAATAAAAAACGAACCCTTTTGACATGGATGCGTTCTGCCTGGGACTTGGCAAAACAGAGTCGGACCATGTACACGGTCAATGCCGGAATTCGCAGAAGCTCCATCGCAGTTCCAATCAAACTCGAAGTGATGACGTAATTAACAAAGAAAGCTCCATTGTCAGGAAGAAAGACACACCTGGAAAAAGGAGAGGGGATCTATGTAACTCTTCAAATGGTTGTGCACATGATCATTTCAGATCGAGAGCAGGGGCTTGTATAACTCAATAGGAGATTTCACCGTTTTTAGAAGAAATATTCAAACTTATGATCCACAAATGTTGTCAGGGTTTGGTTTCACAAACTCGCCATATTAATCTTATGGCTTAAAGTCTTTTCAGATGACAACAATTACATCTTTGGCTTGGAATAATGGCACCACTTTCTGAAGCTATTGTTTTAAAAAGTCAAGTTGATTTCTTTATGTTGACAGATGAGACGTTGATCTTTGTGCCAGTTTTTGTTTCTTGCATATTAACCATGAACCTCATCAACAAATCAACAATAGAACAGCGAAACCACAATTTGTATAACAGAATTCTAACCTGCTCTCAATCTTCATTTTAAACATGGATTATATAAAATGTAATATAAAAGGAAAATTAAATATTTTTGCTGTAAAGTTTCTTACTGAAATTTAACTTCTCGTTGATCCAAAAAGTTCTTGTCAAAGACCCACGTGAAGAACACGTCTAGACTACAGAGGGAATGACATGAGAGGATGAGCTACAGAGAGAAGCGCCTGCAGAGATAAGGTGGAGAGGGTGCGTTTGATTTGAGTACCTGGTCAGGCCGAGTGAGGGCAGGATGATGACCATAAAGACCAGCAGCATGAAGCACTTGTGCATAGTGACCTGGTTCTCTCCCGATCTGTGCATCAAAGAAATGACAGAATAAAGCAATGTCAAAGGTGGAGAAATATCTCAGATCATCTGCCACATGAAGAATGAGGGATATAAAAGATTTGCATATAATCAGTGACGGGAAGAATACTTTGAAAATGTATTTTGTTACAGAATACGGAATACCTGTATTAAAATCTATTTTGTAAAATATTCTGGATACATAGTCCAATCGGAGTAAATACTAGGAATACTTTTACACCAAGTTATGTTTAAAATGTAGTATAGAAAGACAATGTAGAATTAAAAACAGTTTTATGCTTGTTTCATTGTTTTTTCTCAATTTTCACTAATTAGAGAATTAAAAATCACACATGCACTCACCATGCCCAGTGTTTTTTTAACACTGCATACAATAACCACTGAATAACAATAATAAGAGGAACTGTAATAAACAAAGTAACAAAAGATTATAGAAATGGAGAGGTATGGAGAGAGATATTGTGTAAATGTTCTTTTATATTTAACATAGAACTGTACGGAATTACAAATGGATGAGCTATGTGAATGATGAGGCCTTTTGCCAGTACTATTTGCTTGTGGATTTGGTCATGGTTGGATTATTTAAAGTCTTTTGAGGTGTGTAGTGCCAATGTGCTCATCTCTTCACCTTGGTTTGGTCAGCACCTACCAGGAGGATTACAATACAATTAATGTTGAAGTGGAAACCTGGATAGAAGTGCCCAACTGGACTTTGGCCCTAAGCTATAAATCATATGTGTATCTACTGTGTCTTTACAATGTCTGGGATAGATTTGATTTCACAGCCTCAGCAGATCATTGTACCCGAGCTGTCTGATTTGTGGTTGGGACCCCACAAGTAAAAGAGTAGAGGGAGCGGAAAACGTCAATCGGCCTTGATTTAAACCAGTATCTTCGGTCAAACTTTCCTGCCTCATAATGACTGATAAACTTAAACATGTCCTCTGTCATTTCACGTTCTGTTCGTCCAATGGAACAAAAACCATTGTGGTCTGAGCGGAGTCGTCCTGTCTCGATACGGATGATAGTAGGCCAATTCGGACTCTCGTTGCTCTGCTGTTTTTGCAATTAAAAGATGACGCAATTCAAAGAAATGAACAATCTTTTTATTAGCAGGACCACTGGGTACGTCGACACTAACAACCAAATAAGCCTTAGATTTGCATGGACTCCGTGGACTCCGTCGAGCCCGCAGACGGAGCACGTTGGTGGGGGTGGTTATGTAAAGACCTGGGTGCTCATAGGTGTCTTTCCTATGCAAGGCCGTTCCGCTCCTCCTCCCACTGGGTCCCCATGCTCCACTGGTGTCTGGCTACAGCGCATATCATTATCCATCACATGGATCGGATCGCTATGACAACCTGCCCAGAATAACGCCGCACACCGAGAGTGACATCGAGATGGAGAGATGGAGAACAAGAGAGAGCAGGAGGGTGATATGGAAAATTATGGGAAAAAAAAGAATATTTGATAGGGAAATACACATGTGGAAGTGATTTAAAGTGAGTGAATGCATTTGTTTGTGTTAAGCCTACATTAAAATCATATATTATGCAAGGACCATTGAATATTGCAATAGCGTTAAACTTAACAATTTCTAAATAGCCTTGAATATGCCTGAATCAAAATCAAATCAAAATCACACACTAAACTATTATTGTTAAGTTTGAAGTTTTTTCAACAACAATACTTTCTTTCTGTGAGGGATCTGCCACCTGTGTGTCTCCATGGAGATGCTATTGCTTTACCTGGAATGTTCCACAGTATGGTGTTAAACGTATCTTACATTTTTCAGTTACAGTTGTTTTTTTGTTTCTTGTTTCAAAAAACACCTTGAAAAGCCTAAACTTTTTCTGTGACCGGGTTCGCCTCTCATAGTTCTGACCTGTGACATGGCCTAGTAGTGTCACCTCCATGTTTCCATGGAGATAGATAGGCTGTAGGGATGTAACAATAAGCAAAATATATGATATTGTATCGTCAAAGTTCTCACAACAATATGGTGGACCATCACAATATACTGAATTACAAGTCTCTTAGCTTAAATTACGAGTTATGGTGTAGCAATAGCTCAAAAAAGACAGAGGGAACTACATAGATCATGCAGACTACAAGAAGAAATAACAGTTCTAGGCACTTTTAAGTCTTAGTTCTTTGGATTAAGTCTTGTCAAGGCATTTTAAGAGGAAAAAGTAGCATACTAACAGTTTTGTCTCCACAAAAATATCGCAATAAATATCGTACCGTGAGGTTCATACCGTGACGATATTGTATCGTGAGACTGGGATATCTTTACACCCCTAACAGGCTGTATGCCGTACTGTGGAACATTCTAAGCAAGTAATAACATATTCATAAAGTCAAGCAGAGAGTGAACTCTTTATTACAAAAGTTACATGATGCTACGTTAAAGGTGCACTATGTAACTTGCTAATTCTTTTCTCCGTTAAGATGTCATTGCTCTGTCTGAAATGTTCCACACTATAACATTAAACAGCTGTACTTTAGATTTATTAAACAACAGGTGGTCTTATAGCTCAAAAATACCTAGAAAAAAGGCATTCTGACTGTGAGCAGAGCTGCCTCTCTGACCTGTAACTTGGTCTGGTTTGATTGCCATGAAGATAGAAAGGCTCAATACCATACTGTGAAATATTCCAGACAAAACAATAACGTCTCCATGGAGAAAAGCATTTGACAGACCTGCCACCGAAAAACTTACACAATACACCTTATTTGAGCCTTGAGCAGCTGTCTTAATCTTTCTATCTTGATACATGATATGATATTTAGGCTATTATGTTTGAATGACGGATATACAAGGATTTCTGCAACATTCGGGTATAATTAATTACCAATTTACTGCACCATGTACCTGGTCCAGTGGGATTCAAAGAAGGCCGAGTAGTAGACAATGAAAGGCAGCAGCACAGAGAACGCCCACAGCAGCAGAGTCGGGAAGAACTGAGTGATCACCGGGCTCTGTACTCAACACACAAACCATCAGAGTCAGCTTGGTGCTAATATTATTAAGGAAATTAATGCGCGAGACTGACCTGCAGACTCTCCACAGGCCTGGTGACGTTGAACTTGTCCATGGTGTTGACGATGATGGCCGGAGTGGTGAGGAAGAAGAGCAGGAGGAAGAGCAAAATGTTGAGGAGGACGCAGCGTAGCCACCAGCGGTACCCACACACAGACAAGTTCTCCCTAGACAAGAAAAGCAGAGGAAATGTTTATCATACAGTTAAGTGGATATTAAAGTGGACAATGCAGGCTATTTTCAGATCTATTATAATGTTGTTTCCTCATCAAAAACATATCTGGAGTTAAGGCTGTACAATTAATAGAATTTTGATAGCGATTTCAATTTGTGTGTCAAATGATCTCCAAATTCATATAATCGAGTTGAAACGATTTACTATACAGCTTAAGTTTATTTAGGGATGTTTTTTACATAAATAAGTATTAATTTTAGTTTTTAAATACAGAGATTGTAGAACAGCTGGATATATAGTTTATTTTGGATACATTTATGTTTTTCTATGCCTTAATTCATGTTCAAAGTATATTTTATTCATTTTATGTTTTATACATCACAAAACTGCTCTTAGGTTCATATTTGTAGCCTTTATTTATTTTTAATTTGAAGGTTTGTGCAAATTATCAATACCAAAGTGTTTTTTTGAGAGAGAAATGTTGAATAAATGCATCATGTAACAAAAAAATAATAGTTTGAATAATCGTGATTTCAATATTGTCCAAAAATAATTGTGAGTGGTTGTTTTTCCATAACCGAGCAGCCCTGCCTGGCGTTGTGTTTTTATTTACCCATTTTTAACACACAAACATGCATATTTAGAGTTCTACAAATATACACCTCCTCTAGAATCATTTGGGTGATTTCAGTGCTGTAATTGCCATTCTCTACTGAACTAAAGGTAATAGGTAGCTGTTAACTTGAAAACTACCGCTTCATGACATTACAAGGTGGAACAGAAAATTTGGGACTTCGGAGATGTAGAGAGACGAATAATAAAGGACTACTCAAACATGTGTAAATAAAACAAAACTTTATGTATGGTTTTGATGAGGAAACAACATTATAAAACGGTTTGAAGCTCACACGAATTAATTTTGTGTAATACAAGACCCTTATATGAGCTAACTCTCTCCTGCTGTGCACTTCTAGCTTGTATATAAAAGTTTGTTGGAAAAAGGTTGGGCACACCATATTTCAAAGTGTTATTTTGATGAGTGAGGCGCACTGTAGGCATATGAGCTTCTCTTGTGGATAAACTCACATAATATGCATCAGTTATGTAATCGCACCAGGCGTTGTTTGCTTTCAAAGGAGGATGATAGCATACAAATTGACTGAGCAGGGGGTAGGGCCACTCGCTTATGGAAAGAAAACTATAATCATGATTATTTGGGCCTTAATTTAAATCAGGGAAAACTGTTATTTATCTAATGCTAAAGATGAATCAACTTTTTGTCATGTATTAGTAATATTTTGTGATTCTTGCTTTAAAGGTGCATTATGAAACATTTCTTGAGAAGGGCCAGCCAGCCACGTGTCTCCAAAAAGAGGTTATTGCTTTGCCTGGAATTTTGTACAGTTTGGCATTAAATTTGTTGAGCTCGTTCAATTACCGATCAATTACCGAAAATATGGATTCTTTCTAGTGGGGTGACTTCTCCACAGATCTGATGTGGTGGAATCATAAGCTTGTCTTCATGGAAATGCACACAAATAAATAGCTGACCCACCACCAAAAACAGTTACACGATGTAAGCACTTATATAATTTAGGACAGAAATGAATAACTGTTTCTTTAATTATCTTCGATTAAAACACAAAAAAGATGAGTCACCTACCTCTGTAGAAAGTGCTAATGCAGTTTTGTCTGTGAATTTTATCTTTAAAGGTGCAACTTTTCTGGTGGTAGGTAGGTCTGCTACCTACTAGGGTTGGGCGGTAATACGATATTACAGTATCCAGCAATATCGAAAAGTAGCATTTCATTACCATTATTTAAAAAATCTGCAGCGCATAAGGACCTAATATAATATTATAATTTATTGATACCTATATTGTATTTTCAATTTAATGCTATCATGATTTAAAACTAATAGTGTCTATAATGTTTTATTTAACTGCGTGGGGAGGTGACGTTCGATTAGTTTCGTCCCGTTGTCACGTGATGCTCATAAAGGAGACCAAGACAAGATGGCAAGTCCGGCCACAAGCAAGTTGGTCCCCCAGAAAACCCACATTTGTTTATGTTTTACAGAAACAAAACCACATGGCTCATTTGCATAAACTATAAAGCGCTAATAAAAACAACTGTTTCCTTGTGCGCTGATGCAGTTCAGCTTCTGTTGGACTAAAGGACACGATTCAGTAGATTATATATGATCTTTCTGTGACAGAGGATGTGCGGCTGATGCTGAGTCCGTTCTGTGCGTGTATCGTGCTGGAGATGGTTCATGTGAAACTTTTCAGATATTGTAAGTCTGCAGATCATACTCATAGACTAAATATCGGTGCAGCTTCGTAGTTTACCAAAGTCGTACTAAAACATTTTGGTAATACGGTAATACCGTATAGCCCGGTAAAATCCCGAGAAGTTTTAACAGTATCAAAATTTTGATACGGCCCAACCCTACTACCTACTTGTCTCCATGAAGATGTTATTGCTGTGGCATGTTCCATGGTATGACAAACTATCCATCTAGCATTTATTCATTACAAGTGGTTTTTATTACTCAAAAATACAATAATCCCTTCTGCAAATAAGGGCGACTCTCCACAAATCTGAATAGTGATGGCATAGTACGGAAACCTGGTTGTCTCCCTCGTGGCAAATAGGTTTAATCTATATTCTGAAACATTCTAGACAAAGCAATAATATTTCCATGGAGACAAGCAGGCGATGGACCCTTCATTAGAAATGTTATGCAGTCGTCCACTCATTCAGTATTTCAACAAATAATTATTGCTTTGTTTTATGTCTTCTAACATGAATGTATCTATGTGGAAAGGTGCACTGTGTAACTTTTTTGCTTGTCTCCACAGTATGATATAAAACAAATAAATACAGAGGTTTTTATTTCTCAAAACCACAGATCTGACTTGTAACTTGGCCTGGTGATGTGGCCTACTTGTTTAATTTAATGCCATACTGTAGAGCATTCCAGGAAAAAACATCAACACCTACATGGACCCTCTACCACAAAAATTGCATAGTGCACCTTTAAATATGCTGTTTCACTATTTATTAGGTTGGCCTGCATTAAAACACACAGCCTTTTCAGGGAGCTGAGGTTAGCGATGATGGACAGCTGCTAACAGACCATCACTGTCAGAATCCTAAACACTAACAGCATGTCTTTTCCCCACTCTTATATTTTGGTAAGACTTGGTGTGGAAGAACAGATTTGCTTAGCGCAGAGAAAACAGGGCCGCAGATGTTTGGTGTTTCGTTTTCCTCAAATTTTGCCATTTCAAAGTTTAGTCACGATCCAGAGGTTTCCAAACATACCCAATATATCAGGCCTAATTACAGGGAGCCTAATGTCTCAGTGATGGATAGGTCTTGTAAAATGGCCTATTACATCAAACTCTGGATGGCAGTGGTGATCGGATTTCCTCCCACAGTCACACATCTTGTGAGATTAGGTTTAAACTTTGTCTGTGAGAAGTGTCTGTGGGCACTTCTGAATACTATAATAAACTTAGGCCATAACCAGGAGGAGGGCTGAGAGTCGCCTCTGCACCCAGGCCCTTTACTGAGGCCACAATCTACACTTTTGACTGGAAATTTAAGAAGCATTGCACTAATTAAAGAAGGGCTTTACAGTGCATTAATCATTCAATCCACACTAAGTGGTGATAAGCTACTATTGTTGCCACAGCTGCCATGGGGTAGACTGACAGATGCGAGGCCGCCAACCAATGCCATGTGGCCAGAGGTGGAACGTAACAAAGTTAAAAAAAAAAAAAAAAAATGTATCAAGTTCATAATTTGAGCAAACAAAAATTTACAAATAAAACAATAAATAACAACAACAACAACAACAAAAACAAATGATTCAACTGTTTCTATTGAACAAAAGCACAAACCTTTATCAAAAAAAATACATTTGAAGCTTTATTAGATCTGTGCTTTTTACTCTTGTAAGTAATTTTTAAACAGGTACTTTAATAGTTTTACTTAAGTCAATTTTTTCATGTGATTATCATATGACTTTTACTTGAGTATTTATTTTGTCTTCCTTACGGACACCTGTCCAAGTACTAGCCAGGCCCAGCCCTGCTTGGCTTCTGGCCACAGAACTGTGTGGTCCTGCTTCTTTACTGTAGCATTTAACCATAGTAAGCGTACAATTTTCACTGATTTCATTCATTGCTTTTATTGCTGATAAAGAAGTCAGAATATGAGCAGTGGATGGAGATAGGAGGTAGGTAAAAATTGTAATTTCTGAGCACTCAAGCCTGGAATGCAGGACAATACAGGATTACTCAAACATGCATGAATCACTCTAATTACAACTGTGAGTAACCTATAATGGGAAACTACTATGACCTGGGTAAAAGCTCATAATTATATTTTACATAATGTGTCTCCTTTAAGGTTCATCATTATAGGTAGAGGGAATGATAGGTTTGGTTGGTACTGACCAGATGATGTCACTGGGGGCAGGGGCGTAGCTCACCCCCCATTTCTGAGACTGGACCACTGCGCTGATGCTAGACTGCTGAACACGGCGCTGGCACTGGACACGCCTGTAGTCCTTCACAATTCTACAAAAATAAAAATACATTTTACTCCCAAGCACCAGTTTGGTTCTTTAGTGTTCCTGTTTAAGATAGATGCACTCTCTACCCTCCATTTACCTGCTGTTTTAGCTACATGCAACAATACTCCTGAACCCCTTTTCCAGTGCAGCAGAAGCACCAGCCTCTCAATCAACTCCTCTTCACTACCACTATCATACTTCATAACAATGTTGATGTTTCTACCTTTAAAACTGGATTAAGCCAGAGCCGAACTGGGTAAAACAAAATTAATGCAAATATAAAATTAACCTAAATTTCTCCAAACACAATCTCCAAATTGACTTGATTGCTTTTAACTTTTATTTAAAGCAACACTGCATAACTTTCTGGGGGTTTCATGACTCTATGGACCTGAAAAGTTAAAACCACACACTTTGGAATATTCTCTGTGGTGATACATATGTTTTATGCCATAATGTCAAACACTACTACAACATTTCCATGGAACCAAATAACTACAAGTCAGGTTTGTGGAAAAAGTTATGCAGTGGGAGTTCCATTGGGAATTGGAGATCTCTTCCAAAAATCGACTTGAGTACTAAAAACCACTGTCACAAATGATCCACTCTGGTTTACGTCACTGAATGCGTACACAGCCGTCATGCGCTCATCCCTGAAGGTCACAAAGGCAATTCCCAGTCTCTTGGTGGCGATGCGATTCTTCTCTGCGTTAAACTCATCAGTCCTCTTCTCCTCCAGCTCACTGTAGTACTGCTCTGCATCCACCTGCACAGGACAACAGCACCCGTCAACACCCGTCAACACCCGTCAGCACCCGTTGACACAGTATACTGCCCTATAAAGGCAAAAGACCTTAACTTGCCAGAGTGTGAAACTGAGAAAAATTACTTAAAAGTTTCTGTTTTTTCCTGACTAAAGTGTAATAGGTAGGGCTCCCAAAAAAAAACTAGTTGCTATAATGATGAAATATTTGTTTGTGAAAAAGTAAATCATCACAAACAAATCATACAGTGTTATTGCCTTTTGCCTTTGCACGACTCCTTAATTTTGGCTCATGATACAATGGCAGAGTACAGGAACTGCCAAATAAGAATCAGAGGTCCATTTTGAGCTCAATATTTTTCACAATATTTATTCACATGATAAAAGAGGTCTCAACTACCCTCCAAAATGACATTAACTCATTTTTGACTAAACATGATGTTACAGAGTTCTGTCTTTGTAGGGAAGTACAGCCATATGTAGAGTGACCACTGAAAATTTTGCAACGTGAGGGACATGTTATTGAATGTGGTGGAACATGGAGGGATGGATCCTGGAAATGTAAGCTCTTACATAATAACTGCAATAACGCCATATGATTTTTGTCATTTTTATCAAACATAATACCAGACATGAACACCAGACATGAAGTACATCATTATAAATACTGCAACTGAGTACAGTTTGGGGGTTATTTTAAAATGGATTTTTAAACCTGTACTGGCATTTGTAATTAACTGGTAATTAATTATATCTACACATGTAATTGTAATAAGTTAACAACATTGCACACCTGTACTGATTGTTTAAAACTTAATACAGTGTTGAAAAGTGTTGAAGAGTAACTAACAACTAGTACTGGTAAAAACAGTTTTTTTTTACGTGCATTTTTACTTCCACTTTAATTCTAATTTGCTTGTGCTTGTAATTGTGTACATTTTTAGTCATGCAACTGTACACATTTTCAGTCCTCTTTCCACCACTGTGTAAATCACAGAGAGATGGGAATAGCAATAGGGTCCAACATATTAGAACTCTGAATGCCAGTACAAACAAGTCTTGATTTCTTTGCAAGAAAAACAAAACATCTTATTTCATCTTATAACGTCTTATTTTTTATAATTCATGAGGAATCAATTAAAATGGGAGATAACTTAACAATAACTACATCTTAATTATCCTTAGAATGAATAAAGAATTATTTAAAATGAACATTATCTTAATTCATAATGAACAAATAGTTTATTAAGACTGCTTCAGGCTTAATAACTACTTAAGTAACATCGTAACCCTTTATAATTAAGTACTTAAGAAAGTTAGGTAGTTAGTTAATTAGTTTATTTAATGAGACAGGGACAGTGCACAATATACATTAACCTTAACAGGAGAGATGCATTGTACCAGGTTGTAGAGGTTAATTAGAGGCAGGTTAATTGATTGATTGTATTTAATTAACCTCAGCTATCAACTATCAGCTATTCTTCGCGGAGACCTATGCAGCATGTCTTGGGTTGATGGGGGAAACTGGAGCGCCCGGAGGAAACCCATCCAGACACGGGGAAAAACATGCAAACTGAAAAAGCCTGAATCTTTCTTAATAAATGATGTCTTCATGGAAATTATACTGCTTAACCTAGAATGTATAGATACAGTATATATTAAACCTATCTATCACGAGGGAGACAAGGAGGTTACAGCAGTACCCTACATTACAGTTCAGATCTGTGGAGAGTCTCCCTTATACCCTGAAAGAATTATTGTGTTTTTGAGCAAAAGAAACAGCCTTTATGAATAAATTTTTGACAAATACGTTTAATGTTTTACCATGAAAGATTCAAGGTAAAGCAAGAACTTCCCCATGGAGACAAGTAAAGTTGCACAGAGCAGCTTTAAGGCTAATTACAAGTAAGGCAAATTTGTATATAAGTGAGATGAGGGACAGGGGCCTAAGTTCAGGATCCACATGTGCTTTCACTTAAGTATGTTTGGATTGCAGTGCCCTCAAGTGGCCAAGCTATTTCTGTGCAGGACCGCAGAGGCTGATGTGCACAGCAGCAGCCCCTCTGGTAATTACAAGCACGGTGACAGGACTTACTTGTTCGAACCCGCACGCATCACAGCAGAAGATTTGAGCGCACGGGTGGGTTTTGATCATGATCTTGCCTTCCTTCTGGGCTTTTGAGGCGAAGTACAGGCGGCCTTTCATGGCTTTTCGTCTGCAGAGAAAACATGATCATGAAGTCCAAATGCAATGCAAATAATACGTTTTGAAAAGTATATGGGAGTACCTCTCCAAGTCCAGTTTCATCAGCTTGTGGACGTCAAAGCAGAAGCGTATGTCTGTGACCGTGCAGCTCGGGTAGGCCTCACTGGGGAAAAATAAAGCAAGATTTGCAAATGTTGAAAATTACGGATGTTATTATTATTATGTATCACTGTGCTGCCAGAAAAATGAATTTCCTTTGGTATAAATAAAGTATTATCTACCTATTTATCCATCAGTGTTGTTTATGATGGTGAGACATTGCAGGAAAAACAAAACAAAACATTCTTAAATTTAGAGATATCTATTTGAAACTTCTCCTGTAGTTGACTCACATAAAATGTTTTATATTAGGAACATGAAAAGAGCCAAGGTGAAATTTCTGGCTTCTTTTTGTTGATATATTAGATACTAACAATTATACAGAGAGGATTTTGGATATCATATTTAGTATTATTCAAGTAAACTAGATCTGACAGAAAATTTGCCAAAAAATTCAAATTTCTTCTAAAAACTAAAATCAGACTTGGAATTAGATAACAAAAATCCTGTACATTTTTTCAATATTTTATTAAGTACAAGATTAGAAATGTTGGTGTGTGTAGGTGCTACTTAAAGGGGTGATCTTTATGTCCCTATGAAAGGAAAATGCATTTTCAGACAACAGACTCAATGGAGGCAAGTTCACTAAATGAAATATTAAAACATCTTTCAGTGCAGAGCGGACAGTTTTGAAAGCTTGTGTGCTCAGAAACCACACTGACCCAAAAAACAAACAAACAAAACAAACAAATCAAAACAAAATAAAAAATGTAGTCAATGCAGTATTATACTATATTACTAATTAGTATTACGCGTACTGAAAATGTTTGGTGATGAGCCCTGGGTCGGAGATCTCTCTGGGAATAGACGTGATCATCAATGTCCGGGCTACCTGTAAAAGTAAAACCATAAAATATTTACACAATTAGTGATTCACTTAGCGAGAAGTCCTGTATACTAAAATAGGTTATTCATATTGTGCTAATATGGAGCACACGTTTGGACTTTAGACATTTACTCATTTACTATAAGCAAACAGAGATGGGCAATATATCAGTACTGATATTGATATTGGTGATATTATCTGTGTAATCCCTCAGTCGTCCAGGTACGATCAATTTCTTTTGCTATTGGTGATATTATGGTTGTATTTCATTCCCAGAATTCCTCAGAGCACGTGTAAAAAAACAGTGGTACAGAAATAGAAGAAGAAGTAATGAAGCTGAAAGGGCCCATATTATGCTATTTTCTGATCTGTGTTATATTCTTGTTGTTTCCTCATCAAAATATACCTGGATGATGTTCTCTGGGATAGAAAACACTTTGTTCCACCTTGTGATGTCATGTGGTAATGCAAGAAGTGCTCCACTGTGTTTTTAAACTCACACACACCTTCACCAGAATCATTTGGATAATTTCAGCCCGGGAATTTCCAGTCTCTACTGAACTTAAGATAAGAGGTAGCTGTTACCTTGAAATTACCACTTCATGACATCACAAAGTGGAACAGAGCATTCTGAACTTGGGAGATATAGAGACGAATAAAGGATTACTCAAACATGAGCGAATGAAAGAAAACATAACTCCAGGTATGTTTTTGAGGTAACACCATTCTAACATGGCTTAAACCACATAAAAGTCGATTTTGCTCAATATAGGACCTTTAAGAGGTAGTTGTATGTTTTCACAATAGTCATGAAAAGTACCACAAATTGTATTATACCCCACATACATTTAGTAATTATTTTAATTTAATTTGTGTCCGTAACTACTTCCAATCTTACCATTTTTTAACCATAGTTTTACAATACATCATCCAAAATGATTACACCATATACACAAACCTTGTGGTCCTCCCTGTACTCCAGCCGCATGGAGTGGTGGGCCATGCACAGCAGAGTGAGGATGAAGTACATCAGAGCAAAGACACTGTGGAGCCATAGAAAACGATCCCTAATGAAAAAATAGGTATATTAGGAGACAAGCCTGGTGCCTTCAGAAGAGTCTCTCACACTCTATTACACCCACTCTGTGTTCATGTTAACCAGAGTCGTTCGGCCAAAGTTTTCTGGGCTGTCCCCTGTTGAGAAAATGGAACAGTGGGTCAGACATTTTAATTTTTGCTTATTTTCTTTTGTCTTACAAGCATCACAGAAATCGATTTTCCTGTTTTCCAATCAAACCACATTCTGTCATCTCACTCATCACATGATATTTTCACACTATTTTCACAGATGGGATCCTCGCCCTGTGGGTCTCCCGTTTTTAACGAGGGTCGTTGTGTTTGGTGTTTCCATGGCAACCTGTCAGCGGGTGCAGCTTTATGGTGACACCCTGCTCCATGAGATGACAGCAATAAACAGTAATAAAAACATTTGTGTGGACCAACCAGGATCTCATTATGGAAAGACTTACTCAACACTTTCAACCAAGTAAACAAACAAGCGGTGTGGGGCTGTTCTGTGGCTCCATCCCACCCTGCCTCCCACACCACTGTGCTAAATGAAGCATGCTATATGTCTGTATTACTCTACCTGCATAATTGACACCAGAATACTAGCAACTCCCTTCAATAAAAGTCAGCTGAGTATACAGTTTATGTGTGAGAAATTGTTCAATTTGGACTTTTATGAGTGGATCCAAGTTAAATTTATTTCTGCATGGGAGTAATTATATTTTTGCACAAAACATTTGAGTTTGCCTTGAGCAGATCTTCCATTGGGGTCATAAATCTTCAGTGTATATGTGCCTGTGTGCGCTGTGTGTGATTGTCTCTTGTGTGGCCCGCCCGCTGCAGTTTGAGGGTATCCCGGTGCTTCTACAAACACTTGGCTGGAACAGAGCAGCTCTAAAATACCCAGGAGCTTCCCGGAAAAGTTGACCGGCAGAATGACGGCCAAAGACAGCAGGCACACCACGCTTAGCAACAGGATGATGTGGCGCTGGAAGGACAGGTATGTGACTGCATCCAAGCCGCACTTGCTCCGGATCTCCTCATCCCTGACAACAAACAAGGAAGTGGGGCACAGTTAGGCCATTGTATCTAATAATACAGTCTGTGAAAGCAAACAGTGATTAAAATAGTGTAACATGGAGACATAGTGATGTCATTTGGGTAGGCACATCCTTCACTGCTGCCAAGGTAAAGAGCCCAACATAGGCATACTTCATCATGAACAAGGCTGCCCTCTGCTTTGTGTCAAGTGTGTGATCAGAGAGACTGAGGAGCCTGTTTCATAAACAGCACAGAGACAGAGTGTAAAAGCAGAGGCCTGCCCGCTGCTCCGGACAGCCCACACAGAGTGACTCGCAGGGTGGGTTTGCTCTTTCCCAGGGATGCTGGGGTGAGCCGCTGGCACGAGAGCTAAAAACAGAAGCCACCATAATACTATGGAAACCATGGAGAGTGTGGAAAGGCTCTTTTACAGCCTAAATGTGTTGTGTGCAGTCAGACTGGAGCAAGTGCAAAAAGCCAATGGGAAACCACGGCTCCAGCGGTCGCATGAGCTCAGTGCGTTTGTTTTTGTTGCTAAATGACATATAACGCAATGACTTTACATTTACTGGTGACATCAGCTTTGAAGACACAGGCCAATAAAAGGAAGAAGGCTAAGATTAAACTGCAATTACCAGAGCTTTGTACTTACTTCATATGGTAAAGAGATGAGAGCCACGAGCAGAAGCCCTGCAAGCACACAGACATGATTAAATACACAGACTATTAGAGGTGATAAATCACAAACAAGTAGGCCACATCTGGGTCTTCACACAATCTAATAGTGTAACCATGGTGGAGACACAGATATGAAATACTACATCTGCACTGGCCCCAAAGCTGAACCTCACAGCTGAAACACAGAGCTGGGCCTTAGAGCTGGGCCTAATGAGCCTCAGAGCCGGGCCTCAGAGCCGGGACTCAGAGCCGGGACTCAGAGCCGGGCCTTAGAGCTGAACCTCGGCGCTGGGCCTGTATGGCTCTGGTGGACTGGCACTGTCCAGTTACAGCACAAACAGCATGGTCTGTCACACTGGTGTGAAGGAGACGCAGTGTGTCGGCTGACTCATGTACGGTACAGCAGCACTCAGCACTTTACACCTACAGAGAACTATGTCCAAGTGAGTGACACCTCCACAACACAACAGCACCACCACACAACAGCTGGAGACTGTCTGGGCCGAAGAAACGTGAGCATGGTATCTGCGCATATTTACATGAGTCAGCATTCTTTCTGTGCTGCTTTAGACTGAACTATTGTGTTGTTCTTTCAGGTTTACCTTATATATTGTACATTTATTGCATTTCACAATCCAAAAACATAAATGATGATTACAACATGCATAGTTTGGATTTAACTAATGTAATGATAAATAACCAAACAAAATACTAGATCACTAGATTAAAGCTTGACATCTACAGTGATTTGCAAAGGCGATATAATGTAAATCATTTCTGTGCATTTTAAAATTATGAAGGAAATCCTGCATGCAAAATATTGATTAGAATATTACTATATTAATCTATTTACAACCTTTACACTGTAATAATATTTATAGAATGGAGCATGTTGGTGGAAAAAGTTGCCTATATGTACAATATAGTAGACAGATGTATGACAGATAGGGGTGAAGAGGAAGAAGTGTGTACATCCTCCTCTTTTCATTCTGGCTCATCTCCACTGATTCTGAGTAAGAACATTTGCAACTCAAGACTGCCCCTAGGGGATGGCTACATAAAGGGGATGAGCATCTTTTGTATAGCTTGAAAAAAATAAAAATAAAATAAAATAAAATATCAGCTACTGACCATGTCCTTGGTTTCGGAGTCTGATGGGCTGCAGTCTGAGGGGGACTTCTCCTTTTCACTTTGTTCACCATAGAACAGCGATGTGAGACTGAAAAGATACACAAACATGATGTCAAATTTGTGGATATAATGAAGTTAGTGTATGTAAGTATTTTTGTAATAACTTAAAGGTGAGCTAAGGAACTTTTTGGTGACAGGTCCATCATCTGCTAGTCTCCTTGGAAATGTTATTGCTTTGTACATACAACATTATCTATTGGTGTGTTTATTAGGGGTGTAAAGATAACCAAGTTTCAGGATTTGATATCGTCACAGTATGAAACTCACAGTATGATATTTATTGCAATATTGTGGGAAAGCTCATGATATGGTGGGGAGACTAAAGCTTAGGGATGTAACAATATCCAAATTTCTTACGATATTTTCACAATATACATCTCATGGTACGATATTTATTGTGATATTTTGTGAAGACTTAAAAGTGCTTAGAAAATGCTATTTCTTCTTGTAGTCTGCACTGAAATGGAGCAAAGGATCATGGTCTATGTAGTTCCCTCTTTTTAGCTATTGCTGCACCATAACTCTTAATTTAAGCAAAGAGACTTGCAATTCGATATATTGTGATGATCCATGATATTATTATGAAAACTTTGACGATACGATTCCAGGATATTTCAGTTATTGTTACATCCCTAGCGTTTATTCCTGTGCAGACTTTTCTATTGCTGAACCAATAGGCCTAAATTAAATGCCCTACTGTGGAACATTCCAGGCAACACAGTAACTTCCATGGAAACAAGCGGTGGTGGACCCTTTACCATATGCATATAAGGATATTACAATGTACCAGTATGGCAAAAATAAAAGAGAAGGCCCTGTATTTATGTATGATTTATAATCCAATAGTTATGTCTTATTTTTATTTATTAATTTTTTTTCAATTTGTTCAATATTTTACCAGGTAAGTCAATTGAAAATTTACAATGACGACCTGGCCAAGAGGCAGTATAAAACAGAAGCAGAAACAGAACATACTCACACATCAACCATAATATGAAACAGTGAACAGAGACATAAGCCAGTGAAACATTTGCAGATTAAAGATATTAAAGTGTTAACAACATGTGCAACTTTCCTGTAAAATACTCTGGATGGAGATTTTTTAAAATCGACAGAGGTAGGTTGCACCAGTCCCTAGTTGCTATTTTTAGTACTTATTTTGCATTTATTATTACCATTTATGTTTCTGCTCTTTGTTATTATATTTATTGTGATATGTGAGCAACTATGTTCAAAAAATGTCCCTTGTGGATCAATAATATTCGTATAAGTCTGTAAATGAATGACTTTTGTCGTGCCATTTTCCACCAGCAGAGCGCGCTGACGACTCTGCTCCAGCCAGGCTCTACTCCGTCCCCATTTGTTGTGTTTACATGTGTGACAGAGCAGAACGTGCAGCAGATTTCTCCAGGAGTAAAACATCCTGAGAGGACTTTACCTGTCATTCTCCATCAGCAGAGCCAGACGCCCGTAGTCCCACGCAGCCTTCCTCAGACACGAAAAGATGAGCAACAAAAACTGCAAAAACGAGACAACAGTGCAAAGATGAACATTGAAAACCTCATTAGGGCTCCCGTCAGGACTTGTATATAAATAAGAGACACATATAGGCAACCAGTCAACCTTAAGAATAATATATGGTTGTCGTGGAAACAGGCAGAGAGGGGAAGTGCACATGCTGGGAGCGCGCTAATAACAACGCCAACCTCACGAGGCGATCGATACTGTGGGACAAATGTGCGTATTGCTCAGGCACAGCGGAGAGGAGAGGGAGCTAAAAACAGAAAGGAAATTGAATTATGTGCAGAATTGAATCTAAAGGCCCGTGAAGTGGCATCGAAGTGTCAACAATTCTATTAAGATACAGGCAATGTCCAGTTTATGGCCACTACAGATGGCACATGTGTCCAAGCAACTATGGGCATTAAAGGGACAGCGGTGCATTCATGTTCAACTGCTGTATCCTGGAAATAGAGGGAGCAGGAGCCAAGGTTATACTGCCAAAACAAATTATATCTAGATTCTTGACTTGAATTCATGATATCTTGTTTTGAATTGGTGGTTTTCAAATTTTAAAATGTTATAATTCCTGTTGCAGCATTGATTATTTTAACCTGAAGATGTGGTTTAAACTAATACCTTCCGTGTCAGCAGGGTAAGATAAATGCTCTTACCCGTTTGGCAGACTTCTTATTTCAAGCTAAATGATTTTGGAACTAATCAGAAATGCCTTGAAACTTAAATATCTAATTAAACCTAAATGAATTAATTCTGCTCAAATTCGAAATCATACAATATTAATTAATTCAAGTCAATTTGAACCAGTGTTAGAGGTTCAGTTGTACACTGCGCTGACAGTAAATGTAATGATTATTATTGGAAATATTGACTATTGCAGTGACCTCATGCTGGGGGTGTTCTACATGTATCTCTATGTTGGAATGTTAGAGATAGGATGACCAGACTTTAAAAATCAAAAACTCAGATTGGCGGTTGGTAATAATAAAATTGTGAAATGAGTGTGTAATTAAGGAAAATTTTTCTCACTCTGCCCATCCATGACTAATAAGTGAGTCAGTATAATCACATTTTCTTTGTGTTTTTTATTTTTTTAAGCAGCTTTTCTGTATTTTATCTAATCAAATGACAATTTATGTCTCTCTTTACTGTCCACTGGGACAGGGGACACAGGGCTACAAAATTGGGACTGTCCCGGGTAAATAGGGATGTCTGGTCACCCTAATTAGAGATATACATGCATAACACAGAATGGCAGCTTCCATGGAGACACAAGCGTTCATGATCCTGTTCAAGGATTTGAGTTTGATTTTCAACAAAAAGGTGAGAGTGAGTAAATAAACAACTATTGGCTAATGCTAGCTTGTGACTGCAATGTTATTTCACAGGGATTTGTTTAACAGCACAAATCAGCTCACCTGTTCTAGTTCCAACTAAACCAGCGCTGTTCTGTTCTGTTCAGTTCATATTGTGTTAAAATAAAGCTCAGATTAAAGTCTAATAAATCTTCAGACAAAGAAGTGCCTTCAGTTAGCATTACACCCCTGGGGAATGTTGATGGCCTCATCAGAAAATTATCAATATGCCAAAAAAGGTCCTGTTTGCACCTTCCCTTATCATCAAAGCAACAAAGCAACAAAGCAACAAAGCAATGTCATATAAAATAACTAAACTGCATCTGCTGTCTCCTGGTGATTTGTGGCTCCACTTTGAACATTTCTATGCACTATTGATAGTTGCACTGACCTCACGTTAGGGGTGTTCTACATCTATGTGATATGGTGACACAATGCCACATTAGCAAACATAGGGTGATCGGATGTCCCATTTACCTAGGACAGTCCCAATTTTGAGCCCTGTGTCCCCTGTCCCAGCAGATTTATCCAAAATCAGTAATTTGTCTCAGTTTTATACAAGAAATGTCCCAGGTATCCCTATTTTTGACCAATCTGATTCCTGCCAACAGTAAAAAGAAGCATGAATTGTCATTTGTTTAGGTAAAAATGACCAAAACACAAATAAATTGTGACTATACTGACTCAAATTAGTGCTAAATACATACCAATTTCCCGTAATTATGCACTCATTTCACAATTTTATTATTACCAACCACTCCAAACCAGGGATGTCCCAGTTTTTTATTTTGAAAATCTGGAAAAAAGTTTTAAGATTGTCTAAAAAGTCAATAAAACGGATTTGAACAGCATAATTTCAGGAGCCTGTAATCAACACGTCCGTACATGGTCATGTTAAGGTTTTTGATTTTCAACAAAAAGGTGAAATTGACTACCAGAAAAAACTGCTGGTTAACACAATTTAGCTTGTGACCATAATTTTATATGCGAGAGACTTGTTTAAGTGCACAAATCAGCTCACCTGTTGTTCTTTATGGTGAAATTGTGAAAAAATAAAGCTCAGATTGGAGTCTAACTTGAGTAACAGAGCTTTAGATTGAGTAGTGCCTTCAGTCAGCATCACTAGTATCAATAGGGCCTATAAAGTAGATATGCCCTTTGCCCCTTTGCAGTTTCCCCAATCAAAATAATTACTATTACTGTGTTGAACTGGATGAAATATGATTCATTTGTATTCCGTAAACACCTATAAAGTTGTCCCCCTTATTGAGATACACAGAGCTGCCTGTCTCCCCTCTCTCTCCGCGCTCCTCCACAGCCTGACCTTGCGCCTCCCTCTCCGTCTCATGTGGTGTATATTTTTCATGTTGACGCGTGGGCCCCGTTCACTCTGCTCTGATGAGTTATTCTGTACCAGGACGGATCTGCTGCAGAGGCGTTCTCTCGTCACCAGGGGGAGGTGTGCGTGCTTTGACTCATGCCCATCATTAAGAGACAGTGTTGTGTTGTCTTGGTAACAGAGCGCTGATAAAATGAGATAATTAAATAACAGCAGGCGTGACAAGGGGATGGCGCTGGAATCAAGAGAGTTATAGTCGAAATTACAAAATTACTTGTAAACGATCTATTGTATTGTGAAAATGAACATTAGGCATGACTCATTTGAGATTAATAGAGTTCAAATGCTATTTTTAAGTCAGAGTTTGGTTATAATACAAATTCTACTCTTAAAAACATAATAATATAAATTTAGTTACCATGAAAACTAAACTAACCTACAACGTTTTTCCTCTATTCCAGGGATTATTGAGCTGGCTACCAATGGGCCTTTACAAAAATTACAAAAGACATGTATAATCCAGTTTCTAGGATGCCTCTTTATACACCAACTTGGTATTCATTGCTTGTTTGTAGCATTTTTAAAAGTATACTCCTCAGTGAGCTAAGAGGTACCCCTAGAGCAGACCCGGGCATTGTACAGTTCCCGGGCCACATACGGGTCTTTGGTTGATTCTGACCGGCCCGTTTAAGCTACTTTGGAATTACAAAATAAATATATTTCATAATTTTACCTTATGCGTCGACTAAAGCTGCATTGCTTTTATTTTAGAGGTGTTTGTTTAATTACATTTTTGTAAGGCAACCTCACTTTTTCATTGCTAAGTCATAACATACAGCTTGTTAAAACAATGTCGTTTACTGCTTTTTATAAAGAAATACAATTAATATTATGCAGAATTAAGTCACACATTTTGGCCAGGCTCTCCACAATATTTTCTGTTTCGCAAAAATAATTGCCCACCCCTGCCCTAGAGTCTTTGTGCCATCTTTTGGTGTTTTATGAATAGAGAAAATAGGACTGTGTTCCATAGACATGTAACATTTTACTATATTAAATACCAAGACTAAGTATTTAAAAAGCAAAGAACCTTTAGAGGCTCCATATTACAAAAAAAATTACTCTTGTGAGCGTTAAGCCATGTTAGAATGTTGTTACCTCTTCAAAAACATACCCAGAGTTGTGTTTGGTTCATTCACATGTTTGAGTTACCCTTTATTATAAGTCGGTCTACATCTCCAAAGCTCAAAATGCTCTGTTCCACCTTGTGATGTCATGTAGTGCTCGTTAACATCTACCTTTTACTTTTAGTTCAGTAGAGATTGGCAATTTCAGAGCTGAAGTCTTCTGAATGATTCTAATAAAGCTGTACAAAGTTTAAAAACACAGTGGAGCACTCATCTTAAATATACAGGATTTGTGTGTTACGTGTGAATGAAACAAAACACAACTCCAGGTATGTTTTTAGTGAGGACACAACATAACATAAATCAAAAGTATGCTGAATATGGGCTCTTTAAAAACAATTTGGCTTGATGTGGTGATGACGTTCTTAAACTGATATTGCTTTTGCCACTATTTCACCATGGTTTGGTTCTGCTAGTGTACTCTCACTTACCTTAAAACCTAACACACGCTGGGTTTTTTTTCCCCTCACCTCTGCGCCCTGTGAGAAGAGATCCCTCCTAACAGTGCTGATGGGGCTGTGAGGCTCCATTACCATCACAAGCGTATCTGACACAGCATCTGCTCTGCTCACAGCGCTCGCTGTCTCCTGAGTCCCAAACACATGTACTCATACGCCTGGTTGTTTATATCTTATTCAAACCACACATGATACAGAAGTGAAAACTAGATAAAATGTACAGAATCTGCTCATTTATATGCTGAAGTGCATATGACAGGTTTTCATGATTTTCTAATTATTATATCCAGCTTTTTATGTTCTAATGCCGATGTTGAAGTGTTTGCTGATACCTGATATCAGTGGGTGTTTTGTAACTTATTTATCATATAAAGCAATCACAGAACAGCTTTGAAAAAAAAGTTCAACATTACAAGGTGTTTTGGTCCAATATGGGTCTGTAGATCATCTTATTACACCTATTTAAACACCAAAATGTAATCGACTGAACTGATATCTTGCGACTAATGTCTGATCCATAAGAAATGTTAAATATTGTCACAGATATCCGATACCATATGGTATCCTAGTTTTATATCAGTCAAGTCAAGTAGCCTAAGAGACAGTTTGAAGTTGAAAAGAAACAGGCTGGCGCCACCTAGTGCCTAAATTTCATTTCTCTCCAGTGACTAAGTCAGGAATCGGAATACACTAGATGGTTTGCTGCGAAGCCATGACGTCAGACTCAATTGCTTCCCTGGGTCCCTTTTGTGGTACAGCACAACAGTAAACAAAGTGGTCGAGATGGATGTAGACGAAGCAACGATGGCAACGATTCCCAAGATCAATTATTTCAAGCCGGTACAAAGAGAAGGTTTGGTGAATTTTATCAAGGGAAAAGACATTATTGCCCTTCTTCCTACGGAATTTGGCACATTACATACATCATGACCAAATAGCAGCAACTGGTTAAATAAAAAAAGTACCCGCCTACCGTTGAGTGAATAAATCCTAATGCTGCAAGGCCAGACGGTTTCCACGAAGTGAAACAGGCTGATGAATCAGGTTAACAGGAACTAACGCTAAGTTTTAAAACAGAATACTTCTACCTATGTTCAAAATTCAAAGTTCAAAAAAGTTTATTGTCAATTCTTAATGCGAAACATAAATCCAAGTTTTCTTTGGGGAGATGCAGACTCCTAGCTTCCTGGCAGCCTGGTGGTTCGAGAGGCGAGAGATAGGTCATCAGCACTGAAAATTCCATCCAAAATGCATGGACAACTTATTATTAATTTAACTTGAATTTTCTGTCAGTTTGTTATTTATTTTTATTTTGTTAAAGTCTGAAATGACTATTTTTTTAACAGTTACCGCTGTGTAGCCTGTCTTATCTGCTGCCCATATCCAACCAGGAAATTTAATTATCCAACTCCAGATATGCAAACAGTAGAAAAAACTAGGCAAGCTTTTAATAACAATAAAAAGACTTAACAATTTCAAGTATGATTAAGTGAAATGTGTGGTCTAAGCTGGCATATGCACTTTAGTCTAAGCAGGAGCCTCTTACCATCCACAAAACAACGTTGATGGCGAGAACAGTGGGCACGCCTCCGAAGGGCAGCCCCTGGAGCACGCTGCTGTGGGAGTGTGCGTGGAAACATCTCTCCGCTGTGCTGTTCTCTTCCGAGCGCCGCAGGAAGTCCAGACTGTTCAGCTGCACCGGCCTCCCACCCACAGGGGGGCCTCTCGTCACAAAGAGCACAGGGTCAGCCATCAGAGCGCCAACATACCTGGGCAAACACAAGGCACAATAAAAAATAAAAAATCTATACTGCATAAGTGGCACATGTGGCTCGCATTTTTGCCTGACAGCACAAAGCTCTATGACTTCCACAAATGCGTTGCCAAAAAAAAAAAAAAAAAAAAAATAGACATATAAACAGCAATTTGTGTGTTCTTTTGTACCTGTTTCTCAATAATTTGATGCGGTATTTACTACTAAAGTCGGACTAAACACCTAAACTCCCCCCAAAACTACACCACTGGAGGCAGCACACCCTCAGGTTGTTTTATAATACCAAGTTTGTACTAAAGTAGCAAAAAATGTCTAGGAACAGTAGATGCTATTAAAACCATAAACACAGTAAAAAGTAAATGTGTTTAATTCTACTTTAACGTCCCCAAGTTGGGAAACACTGGAGGTACTGGTTGAAGCAAGGGTCAAGTGTTGCCTGACCAGCCTACATTCTGTTGTACATTCTGTTCAAACCCAGAAGGGACTGGAACCGGACCACAGTGGGTGAAAATCGTCCATCCAAACTTAAGATGATTCACACACCTGCTAATTTGTAGCACGTGTCTCTCATATTGGTATCATTAAGAAGTTGCTGATACGATACATACTTTGATACATAGGTCATGATACGACACATATCTCGATACAGTGCACTTCCAATTCAATATGATATATTTTAAATCAATACGGTTCAATAAAAAAATGGCTAAATCATGGCTGTGACACTAAATGTCTTTGTTAAACCACTTCTTGTGCAAAGTGAATATGAAACACACACAATTTTAATCCTCAAAACAGTGAAAATGTCAAATGTGTTGCATAAATAAATTTCCTTCCACTAAACAAATAACAAAACTGTAGCACTGTAACAAAATAATTCAGTAAAATATACCAAAAATACTCTTGGCAATATATCGATACAGCAAACACCGATATTGATACTGTATCATCACATTAAACAATATGATTTATCAATATTTCAATATTTTTGCACACCCTTTGTCTCCCAGTCATTCAGAACAAAATATATAGCTTCTTTTACCTGAGATAAGTAAAAAAATCCTTTATGTTGTTGTTTGTTTGTTTTTTCAATGACGCCGTGTGAAATCGGGGAGACAGGATATGATTCTAAATCCAGTCTTCTTTTGTCAAAGCGTGGGGTTCTGGCTGACCAGGTAAGGTCAAGTGCAGAGAACTATGTGAACTATCCACCCAGGGCAAAATCAATATATATTTACTGTGATTCTCAAGATATTGTAGAAAGTTTCAATTTCAAACAATTACGACTTCTACAATTTTAGAATGAAAGTAGGCTGCACCAGTAGAAATAAACCACTTTGAATGCAGAATTACTACTGTATTATTCAATTTGAGAATGAATAAAACATGCCCTGCCCAGCTCTTGCGCCCCGGATGTGTGTGAACGCGATGAAACATGTGTGTGTAAGTGCCGCTTTGATAAGATCAGTCTGATGTCCACCCGCTCCATTAGTCCTCATTGATCTGTGCTGCCTGACAAATGCCACTGAGGATGGGACATGAGAGCCACAAACATACTGTGTCACACTAACATTACCAGTGCTTTGAAACGCCATTCTCCACAATAGAGGCCGTTAAATGACCAATTTAACCACTTAGGGCTTGTATAGACAGAATAACAGTCTCACTGAATGCTATGAGTGGGTAAAACAAATGATCTAATGCTTTCCAAACTGGACACTGTGCACGTCTGTTAGACTGGCACACATGGAGGGGTAGTGCAGCAGTTTGTGGATACTCCTGTTTTTGTTAAAAGTGTACTATGTGACATTTCTGATGGAAGGTCTGCCAATTATTTGTCTCCTTTAATTTGCCAGAAATGTTTCACAGTAGGGCATAAAACACTTATACCTTGCATTTATTCAATTGCAGAATAAAACATTTTGTGAACAGGCATTCTTACTGTGTGTGGGCTCACCTTTCCACAGATCTGACTGGTAACTTGCCTATATAAAGATATATAAATATAATGCCATACTGTGAAACATTCTAGCTAAAGCAATACGCAGGTAGAGGTAAGGATGCACTGATCCAACTTTACCGATACCGATTCCAATATTATAACTTAAAATATCTGCCAATACTCAATATCAACCAATATCTGTACAGAGATTGAAAATATCATTTATTTCTTTTAAACTAAAATAATTAAGACAAAACGGATCTAAATGTGTAATGTAGCTCATATTTATCTCTTAAATAACCACAGAACAGCTTTTATAAATTTTGATAAAAATTCAAACATTATGAGACTTTCTATCTTATTACATCAATTTGTATTTTTAACCATAATATCGCCTGAACCAATATTTTCAGTATCAGCACCGATATCCAATACCAGTATCGGATCGGTGCATCCCTAGGTAGAGGACTTTCAACCAGGAAAGTTACATAGTGCTTCAAGTACTTAGTCCTGCTGCTTTAATATATACTGGTTTAAACCTGGTGCAGTATTTGGACCACAACTACTATGTACAATTACTACAGCTACTACAACTAATAAACTGAATTGTTTATTTTGCTTATAGTGAGTGGAGAAACAGACCGGAACTAAACGTCACAAGTGTTTCACCACAGAAAGAAGATCTGAACCATCCTGCCCTCAACACCACACTCCAGATCAATACAGCCCCGCCCCAATTGCTGTGCTCTGTGTTTTTAAAAACAATGAAAGAAATACTCAGAAGCATTTTGTGCACAGTCCAAAACAGGTTAAAAACCATCTGAAGTATCACGACAAAGTGATTCATTGGCTTGTCATTGATGTTTTCCTATTTGTGACACAGCAGTCATGATTAGTGCGACTGGACTGTGGCTGGAGAGAGGGAGAGGAGGAGATGGACAAAGAGAGGGAGAGAGGAAGGTGGACAGAGAGAGGGAGAGAGGGGAGATGTGTAAAAATAACACAGCACTTTAGTGGATCTCCTCTTTCCTGTTGTGAAACTGTGGATCTTTGGGTCAATATTCAGATAGCATCTTGGCTGTCTCCCCGGTGCAGGGGATAGGCCCGACCAAATAGAATGAGCCCATCTGCCCTCCAGCTGTGCTACAATACAAGGTGCAAACTAACAAAGTAGATCTACAAATAGATATGGCATATGCACTTAAAACCTCTTATTCATTGAACCATCACACTTCTTTTTCCAAAACTGGAAAAATGTGTCCACGTAATCCCATAAACCCCATCTGCCAATTTGGAGAGTTTATAGTATTGTAATTTAGTTTTTTGCTTTCTGCAGCACGATGGTTAAATATTTTTGCCCAGCCTCTTTATATTTGTCAGCTCATCGCGCACAGAGTGAGTGACAGGTGGATTCAACCAATCACAGTGAAGAGCATACATTTAGTTTAGTTTAGTCATAATCGGAATATATCTAAAGTGTGGCAATTGTTTTTAGCTCTTCCTTTTGGAGCTGCGCAGGAAAGTATCTATATCGCAATATTGAATCACAAAATAATTGATTATGCAAGATATACTGTATTTCACAGTGTTTACCATTAATACAGGAGACTGTGGTTGCCCCCCATGGTCTAAAATTCTCCCCCATAGTATAAAAACAACCTGGACTACAGGGCTGGGTATCATTCAGAAGTTGCAGATACGATACATACTTCAATATAGTGATCTTACAATTCAATATGATTCAATACAATATATTTCAAATCGATTCAACATGGTTCAGTAAAAAATTATGTGTAAATCGTGGCTGTGATACTAAAATTCTTTGTTAAACCACTTCTTGTGTGAAGTTAATATGAAAAACAACCCACATTAATCATTAAAACAGTAAATATGTCAAATATGTTGCATAAACGAGTTTCCTTCCACTAAAACAACAAAACAAAACAAACAACAAAACTGTATCACTGTAACAAAAATAATTTAGTAAAATATACAAAAAAATACTATGATATCGATACTGTATCATCCCATTAAATGATAAATTATATCGATATTTCAATATTTTTGCACACCCCTACTGGACTATACATTGTCCATACATTACAACAAACTTAGACTTTGTTGCTCATTGTATTATCATAAACTTATAAAATAGACTATGATTGCATGAAGCTTAAACACAGACAGTAAGTGACATTTATACTGTGCAAATTGAATGAGATTAAATTATTCATATCAAAAAAATTATAATTGTGCCACCATAATCTTAACCAAATCTGTGGGAAACTGCGGAAGCACCACCTTTCTCATTTGACAGAAATGTACAGGTTTTAGTTTTTTTTAACATGTTTGATTGGTAAATTTAGGCATATACATATATTGCATCTTTTTTGTCCCATTGTGTACTTCCTTATTCAACGGCCTCCACAAATCACTTGCCAACATCGTACCCAATCCTCAGCACAGCATCTAATCCATGTCCTATTACAATACATCCATTAATCTCTATGAAACTGATCTGATATTCAAAAGCCATGGCAAAATGACTCAGACTTAAGACAAACTTTATTGATCCACAAGGGAAATGATTAGAATTATTATCTACAGTCTACAGTGTGCATTTGCTGTTAGTTATTTATTATTTGGTACATGTACAGTTGTATTTGTACTGTATGGCTAAGCAAGCAGGGAGCAGAGGGATCACTATGGCAGAACTTCACACAACATTTGGGCCCACGTCAGAGCAGGCATGACTCAGCACTTTTAATACAACTAATGTAATCTCCCAAACAACATAATAGCACCACTCAAACTAATCTCCTCTGTAAACAGGCCTATTGTATCATGTTATGAAGACAGATGCTAAGAAGTGTGGAGGGGAGACAATAAGCGCAGTTACCTACTCAGCTAATCTGCCCGTTGCACCAAAATAAACAAGTACTATAGCAAGTGACAGCAGGCCACAGCAATCAAGACAATGGGAGGGGGCCTATAAGTATCCATAAAGCTTGATTCAATCACTCTACAGTTTGCGTCATCACTCATGCAATTATACAATGGATTTTCAAAGCTGTGTGCTGTTGCTGGGTCATTATTGAAGAGTTAATGCTTTTGCTGATCTATGTTATAATGTTGTTTCCTCATCAAAAACATGCCCAGAGTTGTGTTTTGTTTCATTCACACATGTTTGAAGATCCTATATTATACAAAACTGACTCAATTGAACTTTGAGCCATGTTAGAATGTTGTTACCTTCTCAAAAACAGACTTGGAGTTGTGTTTTGTTTCATTCACACATGTCCGAAGGTCCTGCATAATTAGTCTGACTACATGTCTTCAAGTTAACAGGTATTTTTTGCTAATGAAGGTGTATGGAGTTTAAAAACACAGTGGAGAAATTCCTGTATTTTCACATGACATCACAAGGTGGAAATGAGTGTTTCTGTTTGAGAGAAGAACTCATCTTAAATATGCAGGGTTTGTGTGTTAAACATGTGTGAATGAAACAAAATACAACTAATGAGGAAACAACTGTTCCACCTTGTGATGTGGTAATATACAAAGTGCTCCACTGAGTTTTTAAACTCTGTACACCTTTACTAGAAGAATTTAGATAATTTCATACCTGGAATTGCCAATCTCTACTAAACAAAAGGTAAAAAGATAGCTGTTAACTTGAAACCTACAACTTCATGACAAACTAATAATAAAGGATTAGTCAAACACGTGTGAATAATATAAATCACAACATCTCTCACATGATAACAGGATTAAAACAAGGCTCACAATAGTCATTTTTCAATATAGGACCTTTAGAAAAGGTTGTAACAGGAAGGGCATTTGGCATAAAAACCTTGCTAAACTATATATAGAAGTGTGGAGGACTGTTTGAAGATTGCCAAGGAGCTGACTTGTCTGGATGGATGTTGTACTATTTTTTTCTCAGAATGTCGAGATGTCTCAATCCCTGTCAAGTTTCAAAAGGTTAAGCCTGTTAAAAAAGATCAAAGTGCCACAGTGTGCAATAAGGTGGACAGATAACAAATGGATATAATGGAAAATGGACATGTTTTCAAGGGACAAAATCATTCAAATAAAACTATAAAACCATTCTAGGGAAGTCATGGTATCAAAAAAATAATTTAAAACAAAACACCATAGTAAAAAGAGGAGGTATTTTACTTTACTACTTTACGACTGGGAATTAACTGCTAACTGCGCCTAAAATTTAGCTTAAGACTTATCCAAGCCCCACACTGAGTCTGCGCTAGCTCCGCTCTAGCAGTTCTCGCTCTGATTGTTACAAACACTCCACGCCGTGCACATTACACGTCACACTGGTGGGAGGAGCTCGCCCCTATTGAGGAAGTAAATGCGAAAGTGAACTTTTTTGGGGGGGCCCATGTGTCCTTGAACACTAGCCTGATTCATCAGCCGGTTTCACTTCGCAGCATTAGGATTCGTTCACTTGACGGTAGGCGGGTTCTTTTATTATTTAACCAATTGCTGCTATTTGGTCATGACGTATGTAATGTGCCACTAACGGGTCTAACTGGTATATTAAGTTTTTCCCAAATCTCGTAGGAAGAAGGGCAATAATGTCTTTCCCCTTGATAAAATTCACCAAACATTCTCTTTGTTCTGGCTTTAAAT